GAGGGTAAAGAGTACCAAGCACCTCTCACTGGAAAAGAGAGCTAACACGGAATGCGTGGCCCGTGCCTAAACTGGGGAGAACACTTCTAGTGTTTACATGGTGGGGGGAGTGCCAAAGTCAACCCTGCAGGGTCCAGTGTGCATGTGAGGGTGTCACCCCTCCTCTTCTCAGCCACTCACTGAAGGAGTTACCCCACTAGCAAACCTACCCTTGCAGGGCTCCCAGAAGAGGTTGCCTGGCTTGCTCCCCTTTAAGGCTGGTTCTGGATAAAAGATGACTGGTCCTCCTCAGGAGAGAGATGGCAACACAGCAGGTGGGTTCACAGGGAACTGAAGTTATGAATGATGCTAAAGACAAAGCTGGTCACCTCTGGTGCCTCAGAGGGACAAACTCAGTGTGCTTAGGGTTACACCTAAGCTTGCAACCATGCACACTTGCTGGACAATGCAAGTTAAATTTTATATTTGCAAAAGATCTTCGACACTAAAAGCAATTTGCCAACATCTCCAAAGTCACTTTTCAGTCCATGCCCTTCACTGTACTAGGCAGAATCTAAATTAGGCAATAATCTTGCTTGATATGAGGCTTTAACTTAAGGTAAAAGCTTATCCCATCAAATTATCTTGTTTATGAAAACACTGTGTAAAATGGAGATTCTTACAAATACACATTTACAAGAGACTCAGATACACAGGCACAGAAGTGTCATAGCCATTCCAAATCAACTCTCCTGCAATTCTACAGCAGGAGAGACTGGACGTTATCATACTCAACAGCTAACTCATAGATTTAGTTTTCTCAAGTTCATGGGAAAAAATCCTCCTGAATTTGGAGGCAAGTTTTGTGCCATTGGCTGTTCTGGATACTAGAAAGAAAGTCATCAATGGAAAAGTGCTCAGATCTACAGCTCAAAACATAAGGCCTTGGCAGGGCTTTGCCTTATATTTTGATAAATGTCTCTATATTTATCTTAAGCCTCCAAGCAAACCAATGGCTGAAAAAGCAATGTCACTTTAACTGAGCTTTTTTTTCCAACAGGAAACCAAGTTTGTCTGGCTTTGTTTGAGGGTTCTGCTCTTACATTGTATGATGAGCTTTCTGTGTTCCTCCCGTGAGTCCTCCATCGTATAGAGGGTTTGTTTGGTAATGCTATTCAGATCCACATTCCTCCAGTCCTCCAGCATTTGAAACGTGATGTCTGCACTGTGGATCACCGTTCTTGATGCCTGTAATCCAATCCAATCTATTCATTAGTTCATGGTTTATTAGGTTAAAAAATAGGCTTTATCCCCTTTTACGCTTCCTTAACTAGGCTCACTAACTTGATTCCCTTCATGGACCCCCACCTACCAGCTTGATGTCTTATGGACATTACAGGGCCCTCTAACCACAGAGAAGTCCCAAGTCATTTTGCCTACTTTAATCAACTGCAAGTATTTTGCTTGCATCTGCCACAAACCTCAGTGAATAACCCTAATCTGGTGGTGCTGTTGCTAAGCTCCTCAGTCTCTAACAGCAACGCTGGTTTTCTTGATCAGCTTCAATTCAAAACCAAAAAAAGCAACAAGAAAAATCAGGCCAAAACCAAACAAACCCAACTCAGGTTTGCACCCTCCCTCTTCCAAATTACGAGGACTCCCATTCTTCCCTCAGCCTCAGCCACATGAAAATGTTAAAGCTCATTTGCCCCCACATCAGATCTGCGTCTTGGCCAGTTGAGACAGGGGTCTGCTGTTGGTAATGGGGACAATGGGCTGAAAGGAAGTGACACAAGGTCATGGTCATATAACATACACCAGACCTTTGCAATTTAAGCAGACATGTTAACCCACACTGAGGTTATCATCTTCCCCAAGGAAATGATGCGTTGCAAGACTCCTTTATGTTAGCAAACTGTTTGATCCCAGGTCTGATGCAGAAGGTTGTGGTCTCTGTAACCTGATTTCCTCTGGCTCCCTATGGATCTCAAGTTCAGTAATGATCCATGATGTTTGGGTGAAGGTAGTACTGTCATCTCTGCCTCCACCACTGAACTAATGGAGGAGGAACTCTACAAAGAAGTCCTTGCAGGAGTGGTTTGGGTTTTTTTCTCCCCTACAGCTTCTTCCTGTGGGCTTCACCACTCACAGGGTTAACCTGGGGTCTTGGATACACCTTCCAAAAGTGGAGCTTTCAGCGTGACAGTGAAAACGGTCTGCTCCAATACATGGGTGAAACATCAATTAATTCTCTTAGGTTTTATGCTACACAGAATTTGGCCTCACAAATTTTCTGTAGGTAATTGTGATCTAAACTAACTGGTGAAAACCAAACACTTCAGAGTAGGTTATACATTCAATTGCTATGGTTGCAAGAATATTTCTATTTAAAATCCCAGTGATTCAACAATTTTGGTTTTTTTACTAATTTGCATTTGATATATATACAATTAGACTTTGAAATGTTTATCAGGCATACAAAAATTTTCCTTGCTTTGCAATACAAACCACTCTGAAATAAAATATTTCATGGAAATTAACCATCTCTTCATATCAAACAGTAATTTCATTTCACAAAATTTTCCTACTGAATTTAATGACCAGGGGTTGCCTGTTGTCCAGAAGAGCATTTTTTTTTTTTTCTGATTACTTTTTGATTTAGTAAAAGATGGTCACAATAAATTGGAGACAAACTGCTAACATGATCTTTTCCTCCTTGGGTAAAGTCCAACCTGCCAACTCATAAAACTATTTGAAAAGTCAATAAAAAACATTTAGCAAACTTGGGTAACTGCAATGCTTACTTGGCAGAGATGATTCAGTGATGTCTGTCGCCGGAGTATTTGTGAGAATCTTCTAGACACTGCAGGGAATAAGAGACACGTATTCATATACTGTGCTAAATAAAGAAAATTATTTCTGGAAATACTAAGTTAAAACAAGAACCAAAAAAATATATCCAATCTTCTATATACAACTGTGGATACATGAAGTTCATGCAAATAACCCAGTTTTAACTCAGTTTAAACCTTGACCTAAAACCTTAAATCTGGCTTCTCAATCAGTTTTACAGAGGCACGTTACAAGCAATGATTTATAGATGCTGTGAATAATGAGATGACAAGAGAAATGTAGAGGACAATGGAAGAGCTTCGCTTGTTCAGCATAGCAAATTTTCTCTTGATACACAAAGGAACTGAAGACCAGAAAGAACTATTTAATAGAAAGAAAAATGTTGGTGCAAGAGCAAGTGGGCATAAAATAATGATAGCTACATTATGTGTGGAAATTAGAAAAGGTTGCAAGCAAGTTTTAGAGGATTCTTCTGACTGGACTAGTGGGAGCTAAAATCAGTTGCAGGTAGAATTTAATCAAAGTTTCTGAAAACGATTACGTGATGTACTGACGTGCTATGGGGTAAGATGGCCCTGCAGGTACTTGCCAGTCGTCTGCTCCTATTTTAGCTCTTTTGAAGCAATATAGAACTTGTATTAAGATATTTCCTATACTTGAATTTTAAAATGTTGTATTGTGCATCTTTTGTCTGAAATGTGACTTGGGAACTGCAAACCTGACCAAGGCTTGCAGTTACTCCTGTCAGTTCCTCCACTGGCTGTGTACACTATCAGAAATGCTGATGAGGAGGAAACAACTGCAGAAGAAACAGAAGCTCATGTAAAACCTGGGATGCTCTCAAGTTTTTCCTTATACTAAAATCACTGAAGACTTGCAGATCTGTCCATGCAGGCATTAGATGTGGTCACAGTGTTAGGTTTTCCCTCTGTACTGTACACAGGCGCAGTTAAAGAGTACAGATTAAGAATGACTACGAAGTGTATTGTTTATCTTTTTCTCTCCCCCTATAGATTCTCAATATTTTTGAAGGGACAAAGGTGTGATAAAGCATATTCTCAGTTCTGACTTTGTATAACTTTTAAAATAAATCAGCAAACAATACAAAAACCCGTAAAATTAGTTGTTCCAAGTTACAACCTGATTCTTCTCAGTAAGATATACACCTAATTTTCCAGGCTGATCAAAATAGTTAATCCTTCTCCCAAATGAGGTTTGGGGTTTTTTTTTTTCCCTTTAACTTTGTGGTGTGGAATTTAGTGCTCATGAAAGGCGAAGAATTGAGAGCCGTGAAATAAAGCAGGCTTTATCAATAGGTGATGTGCACTGCAGGCATCTACAAAGCACGTCTGAAAAGGACTAGTGCCCTTTCCTGTGGTGACAGGGTAATTTGATCTCCTTCATTTTTAACTCTGGCACTTTTTTGAGTAAGGGCCTCAAGCTGTATTCAAATTGTGTTAGCCTAAAGGTTTGTTTAATAATTTCCTTTGCCTAATATCATCCCTAATGTTTGCTTACTATCAACAAAATTAATTTCTTACCAGAAGCCACAAGAAAGAAAACACAATTCTCATTTTGAGCAGTGCCTCATTTCACTAAACGGAATTGGTTCTCATGAACAAGTGGAGATTGCAAGTGAATGCAATTTTTATAATGCTGACAGGTTTTAATTCCTAAAAGAGTGCTAGTCTCACTTCCCATTAATTTGTAATCAATAAACACCATATACATCCCAGGTCAATAGGCAAGAGCTTGGGCAGTACATACATTCAAATTTGATATTTCGTAGATTTTCTGGTAAATCATGGAGAGCTACTTTCAGCCACTCATCCAGCTGCTTTGCAAACTTTCGGATCACCTGTGTCAAACTGAAAAGAGAAATCACTACATCAGAACATGTTTACTCTGTGCTTTATACTGTAAAATCTGGACGTGTGAAGACGATGGGTCAGTCATTTACAACTCACTACAGTGTGGAGTTGGTGACAGACTTTGGTTTGTAGGGGGTGAAGAATATCTACTGAAAATGTCTGTAGGAAAACATCACCATGTTCAAAACTTCACAAAGAATGAAAGTCTCTGTACTACACTGCATTCCTACTTACAAACAGTATCCTTAGCTTGAAATAAAATAATTCCCACTCTACACAAACATAAAGACATAAAATCCCAACTCTTTAATGATGACAATAGATCAGGCTTTGGATTTCAGCTCAGCTGTGCCCATGTTTATACAGATGTGCACAGGGATGGGAAGTGAAGCATCAACCAACTTTGCTGCAGGCTGGAGCCAGTGAGTGGGTGATGACAGTGGGGAGGAATTTCCAGGCCAAGTCCACAGAGGTGGGGGAAGTGGGGGCGGAGCAGGACCTGCCTGCTTAGCTCTGCACAGGACAGGAACGTTCCCAGACGAGTGAGATTTCTCTCTTCTCCCTTACTACCCTTTTCTGATGGCTCCGTCATTTCCTGCTAAACTCAGTAGGCAGCGCATTCTGCTCTTCTTCTTGGAATTGCTCAGTATAAAATGACAGTTTCCAGGAAAAGTTGCAGGATGTACTGCAGGGGAACCTGCCAGTTGGTTCTGCCAGTCAGAGCTGCACTGTCTGTAGCAATACTCGAGATACACAAATGAGAGAGAGAGGAATGATGCAAGGAACTTGCCCTCTTTCAGCCAGGCAGCTTTTTCTGTGTGTACACCTAACGCTGCACCAAGCAGAACTGGGGAAATAAACATGGCCATAGGCCTGTTCTGCTCCATGCAGACACCCAACAGGACAGGGGATGGATGACAACTGCTGCATCCTATAAAAAGTAGCTTTTCTGGACAGCCAACATTTGTTCCCAGGAAGTCCCTCAGAGGATTCTGTCTGAGTCAGCAAGATTTTCTTCAGGAGCTTCCATTGCAATGAGACCCTTCTTCACCCCCTCCAGTGCAGGCTATGGCTTAATAGCCACAATCTGGCCCTTTATATGCATTACAAAAGTCTATATTCACACTCAAGTCTCTCCTTATTTTCTATGAAAGAACTAAGCAGCTTGAGAAAAGGACTGCTGTTCTGTTTAATCCTTCCAATGAAATAGATTTGGGGGGTGAGGGGCAAAGCCTGTAAAAATGTACATGTCTTATCAAGGAAAGCCCATGTTTATAACAGGTTTCTTGTGGAAAAAGTAATTCACCTGTTCTTTAGCAGTCATACAGTGCACACTGGAGAGCAGAACATCATCTTGAAAACATTTGCCATAATTAGAAATGCTTTAAAATCTTGAGGGCCAAATACACAACACCACTAAAGACTCTTAGAGCAATACTCTTAACAAGTTACTCAATCTCAGGAAGCATCAGTCAAATAATACTAAAGGTGTACAAATATATTTAGAAAAAGTGAGTTTCCTTATGCTCATCTTGGGAAAATTAAAGGGGTTGACTGCACTCAGTGATTACACCTTTTGGCTGCGAACTGCTGATCTCTGTCCTGCTTTACCTATATAAACAAGACTTCTTAGACTCAGATGAGCTGGAGGTAGGAAGAGAACAGCTGAGATCTACCACATGGAGTGGAGAAGTGAATTTAGTTTTGAAACAAAGGAGGCAAATACTTGTTAATATTAATAGAGTGATCCTAAAATAAACATGCATCTGTTCTTCATAGGACAGTGCTTAAATTAAACCAGCTTGTCCAAGACTTCACCAGTAGCACTTCATGTGTTATTCGCTGGCAAGCAGACTAACAAATGGGTTCCAAGAGTGTAAACAGAGACAAAATGCTTAGGTTGCAGTGTCTGAATATGCATGTGAGTGTTTACAAACAGAGCACCCAGGCCAGCTCCTCTTGTCACTATACTTCAGAATATTGTTATGCTGTTTATCCCAGACTAACAGAAAAGTGGCTGAAATTTTCAGAATACAGTGTGACACTCTGCACCCTGCAGATTCCTGACATTACCTGAATATCACACAAAACCCAACAAATGTTTTTTCACAGTACAAGTCTTGTTAATATCTGAACATTTCTTCAGGACCATGTCAGCTCTTCAACTCCTTCCAATTGACACTGATCTACACTCAGGAAATGGGTGATAGCAAGAAGCTTTCTGAGAACTGGTGCCATTCTTGAAGAAAAGATGCATAACAAGGACTTTTAGCTGAGTTAAAGTGGTCATTGCTGCCAGCTATACTGACCTGTCAGGTAAGGCTTGTAGTACCGTTGGCATCAAAACTCCAGAAATTGCTTTGTACAGAATTGAATCGCAAACTCCCACTATATTCACTACAGTTGAAGAACCCAATACAGGCAGCATATGAGGAGGCATCCCTTGCCAAAAGTGCAGAAGAAAACTTTGAACCTGCAATCACAAGAAGCAGCAGGAAATGTTTAAGTGACAATAATAAAAGGCCACAAATACCATTTTCCTTAAATGACCCTGCTTACACAGCATTTTTTTCACCCCCTGAGCTGGACTGATGGCGTACAACACAGGACATATTCCTTAACCAGACAGGCTCATACAGTAACGCAGCGCTCAACAGGATAATCAACCAAAGTGAGAGGAGACACTCTCAGCTGGTGACAGGGTGTCTTTGTGTGGTGACAGGAGAGGCACCCATGGAAACGGCCATATTTTACCTTCCACCAGTGGCTGGTGAGTACAACTCTTTGGCATCCACATGTCAAGCCTTTTTTCACTCTTTGCCCTCTGTCTCTGTATACAAAAGAATGCAATCGAGGGCTTGGTGTAGGGAGGGACAGGAGGATAGCACATGGCTTACAGGGGTAAATATACCATTTTCTGTCTTCATTTTGGAAAGAAACCCTACACTTTGCATTTCTTCTTTCCTCCACTATGAAGAAAAGAGGATAAAGTGTGGAGAAAGACAAAAAAGAAAATGGGGAGGAGATTTCAGACACAGATTCCCTAACAAAACATAACATCCTGCTCTGAAGAAAGTATTCTGAGACTCATCCCACAGAACTTCCTGAATATGTGCCACTTATTTCTCTCCCATGGAAACACCTAGACTGGCTAGAATGACTTAAAAGAACCTCAGTGTTCTCTCAAGGTGGGAATTAAATGGTGAGAGGAAGAAAAGCAGGGAATTTCTTGCCATTGTTCAGAAGGCAGAATCAAAAGACCCATTTTCTTTGATTTTTTTCCAGGACCTGGATGTCATATTTGAATCAGGCCCACAGCCTCTCTATAGTCAGATCTGTTTGCCTGGACTAGAAGCCTTCTCCACATGCAGTATCAAACTGCTTGCATTCCAGTAACGTTTTAATTTTCAGCTCTAATTATAGAGCTGTCTGCATGCGCTGCCAGAAAACCCTTAGATTCAGTCAGATATGCAGCAGGTACAAACCTTACCCATCTCTAATGGCTCACATCAACTGCTGAGCAGTGTGTGTGTTCCTAACTGAGCAACTGGGGACTTCAGCCACAGCTTTCTGGGATGTCTGCTCTGCACCACTGCTAACAGACCAGCAGAGCCCACCATTTCGGCTGTGGCACCTGCCCTGGGTTTGTGCTGACCACTGGGAGGAATTCCTTCAAACAGAGCTCAGTTCCAGCTCAAAGCTTAGAAAAGTGGTGGTGGACGCACTTCTTGTGTCGTAAGAACTGGATTGTCCAACATCCTGTAAGGGGATATTGCTACCTTAATCTTGGTGGAGAATGGAGAGACAAAAACATTCCCACTGCTTTCATTCCTCTCTCGCACAGGTTTATGAGATTTAACACTATTGGCCACGTATTATGTACTCAAGCGTAGCTATTGCTCATTAATCATGAAAGGATCTGCTGCCACAAAACCGTAAGTTTGTCATATCCCATTCAAAATAAGCTCTCAGATCCATTAACACCTTATGTATCATTAAACTTCAACTGTAGTTTCCAACCATACCTCGTCAAAGTTTGCTCTTATTACAGTGTCTAGTATCCTCTGACAGTGAGTCCTGTACATCATAATAAAGGTAGAAACCTGAAAAGGAATGAGAGGAAGATGCACAAAAGACCATTCTACTTTAAGAAATCCACTTTTAAAACTATCAGAATATAGAACACAGAAAAGTAAGCTTTTTTTTATCCTACCTATGCATAATTGCAAAAATAATGAAATCAGTTAGAATCAAGTTAGATTGGTTAGATTAGCTTTAAGATGAGTTTTCTTCTTAAAAGTAAATTCTCCCTTTGAATTCATGGGGTTTTTCTATGTCAATGGGGATTCTTCAAATGTAAGAGGAGCAAAAAGCCTCAGTGAGATCAAAGACGAGAATGTGGCCCTAATTAGGACATAAAGAACTATAAACCCCTATTCTTTTGTCCACTTTACATTGATACTACACATGTGAATAACATCAGAAAACTAGCAAGCTCAGCCAAGAGCAGCTAGAGCACTTTTGTCATACGTGCAGATAGGATTCTCTTGATTTCATATCCAGAAGGATAAGAAATGCACTAAGCCCTTCTCTGCTCAAGAAAGCATCACAACTGCTTTTCAGTTTGCCATCAAATGTGTTTGCAGATTAAAGAGCTGTAACATATTTCAAAACGGGTACCCTCAAGCCTCACCTGCTGTATGTAATGTAACTTTAAAAAAAAGTGTGCACTGGCTTGAGAAATAGTGTAAGCTGGTAGCGTCAGCTGTATCTTTTAAGGGGAGATATTTCTTCCTATTATATGAAGTAATTAAGTCCCCCATAAATAAAGTCAAAGCATTATTAAACGTACTCTCATTTAAAGTCTTTATATTTTGGATAAAGCTTTCATCCAGAGCGGGGAAAAAAAGCCAAGACAAGCTGAGAAAAGATTTCCAAAGCATTACCTTCTCCTCTGGCAGACTGGCTGGCAGATTTAGATCTTTGACATTTGGAAACTCTGGCAGTAATGTTCCCAGTTTGGATCGTGGTGAATACGCCACTGTCTGTTTGGTTACTTCTTTTTTTCCTGTTTCGTTGACCCAGGCTGCTCCTTTTTTAGAATACATCACATCATAATACTGGGAGTTTTCCTTCACTGCAATTCCATAATAATGGTACCTGATACGTAGAGATGTATGTTTTATAACGCAAATTGGTTTAAAATGAAATAATTTTTTTAAGAAAATATGGGGGTAAAAGAAACTGTTAATGCTAATGATCCCTACAGCAAACCAGACTGTGCAATAGTTGATATATTATTAACAAACATTGATTCAGCGGTGCAACATTGCAGTCATATATTGGGCTTCCAATTTTCATTCTTTCTGGTAAAAGTAGCTCCCTTCAGAGGTAAAAAAGCTGATTCTCTTGCAAGGCAGGAAAATAATGGGCTTCCATTTTTTAACTTCTTAATTTAAAAAAAAAAAAAAAAGACATCCTAAAGCTACCTGTTGGCAGAGCTCTGCTGTGCAGCTGCTCCTTTAGTTTAGCAAGCAGCAGAGGTACAGACCCTCCAGACCGGCCCTTCCGCTGTTGTTTCAGCTCCCTGATTCTCAGACTGTTGGTGGCTGGTTTGATCCCTGAAAGCACGAGTCTTTGTTGCAAATGAGTTAATCAGAAATGTTACAAAATTTGAACACACTTCAGTGAAAAGAGAGGGAGGAAAAAAGGGCTGTGCTGGGAAGCAATGGAAATGTACAAGCCAAAATAATTTCCTTCATAATTTAGCATCAGCACTGGGCTTAGATCCACCAGGGATACTACACAACACTAACTCTGTCTGTGCAACCACAGTGGGAGTTACACAGTGTGGCTTTGCTATAAAAATGGAGTGGTGGCCTTATGGCACAAGTTTGTGCTACAACTTAGCTATGTTCTAGGTGTTAATGGAAGTACTGATTGTCCAGTCCAACTCCTGCATCAAAGAAGCAAAGGCAATCTTACTCCTTCCATCATTTGCTAATTTTCATTTCAGTTTCTCAGCTATAGGCACCACCAGCCCATCAGCCAATTTTTTTATGATTACAAAAGGCATCATAAGATTGTGTTGCTCGTATACTTTTGATTCACTCTACTTTCCCAGAGGGAATTTTCAATGATCTTCCAGTTCTCTCCTTGCAGCCTGTCAAGAGCCTGTCAGACTATGATGAGACACTGTTTTCTGGATTCCACTGTGGTGGCAGGAGAAGTTACCATCTCCAGATGTTGGTTGTACTCCCCAGACAGTTACTGATTTTAGAGTGCTGACAGCAGATCTGTTCACTTGAATGGATACGAGTTTGTTTTCATAAAATCACAGAATGGTTTGGGTTGGAAGGGACCCTTAAGACCATCCTGCTCCAACCCCCTGCCATGGGCAGGGACACCTTCCACTAGACCAGGATGCTCAAAGCCTCATCCAGCCTGGCCTTGAACCCTTCCAGGGATGGGGCATCCACAGCTTCTCTGGGCAACCACTTCCAGTGCCTCACCACACTCTTCATGAAGAATTTCTTCCCTATATCTAATCTAAATCTACACACTTTCAGTTTAAAGCCAGTATGCCTTGTCCTATAACTATATGTTAAGCAAAATCGACTTTTAAAAAAGTAGTCTATTAAAATAGTGAAAGAGTAGCATCTAAGTGATAGTAGTTTAAACTAACTCAGGTAACATTTTTCCTTTTTTCACTCACAGTCATTCACCCGCAGATCAGCATGTGTCAATCTCCAGCAGAAAGTGGTGGCAAAAAGCTGGAAGCCCTAATCTTGTCTGCCAGCATAGATGGGCTGAGAGGAGGCCTAGGGAGTTGTAGCAAACCTCTAGTGTGTAGCTCCCTTGCCATGCCCACAGAGGACATTCCATGTTGTCCATTAAAACTAAAGGTCATCTTGAACTCAATATTGAATAATCCAGGTGAGATTTATTAAAACATTAATATGACATGGACAATGGGATTTCCTAGCATCTATACTTCAGGAAACCACACCATCTGCTCCAGATCTTCCCATCAGGGTTTAGGCCAAAATATATATTCCACACCAGAAACCAGGTTCTAGATCACTCCTAACCTCTTACAAATAGCTGATAGCAAGTTTGTGCTGACCCTGGGGTTACAACACCTGCTGCAGAAGTTTGGCATTTTAGCTGGAATGGTAACATGTTACTCCAGGTTTCAGTTCAAGTCCCCAGTTTGGTCTCCAGCACCTGTCATGAGTTCACTGCACATTAGAGCTATAAAGCTTACACACATCCTGTACATCTGGGGCTGGGGGAGCCGAAAGGAAATGCTACAAGGAGTCAGCACCAAAAATTACTGAGGGAAGGGCAGAAGAGAGAGAAAAGGTCACAGGAAGCAGGACTGCAAAAGTTCTAGGTGGACAGAGAAGTTCATATAATTTAAACAGGGCTCAGTCTCATATCAAGTTTCCCCTTAAATCAGATCAAGAAAAATGAATGAATGAATGATTGCCTGGAAAATGTATTAGAATTTCACTGTAGGTTATTTAATTTATGTTGTATTTCACTTGGTAGTAAACTACATAAGAAGTTTTCCAGGTAGCTTCAAAATCATATAGACAGCAATAACCAAATTAACTCTTAAATTTTTCCAGATAGCTTCCTCCTTCAATAATTTTACCATCCCAAATGCAAAAAATCACTGGTGCAGTTTACAAACATTCTTTTCCAATAACTTTTTGTATTTCTATCAGGAAAAAACCCTGAACTTAATTCAATAAAGAGGGTTTAAATGTCTGATCTGTAAAAATAACGTGCAGACAACACAATAATTTTTGTGGTAAATAGTGGAATGCTTTTTATTCTCATGGATCTGCAGCACTCCTTTAAAGAAAGAAGCAAAATTCCCTTCACACCATGTAGTTTCCACCAGTTTAACTAACCTCTTGTGGACATCAATGAAGAATTTCAACCTACAGTACAGAAAGAAGTCGGCTTCTGTGTTTAGCTGCCTTCTCATGGCTCACCTGTGGTGGGGCTGGTTTTAAGCTCAGTGTGGTAGAGAAGGGCTGCATGCTTCCAGCAATAAACCCAGCTGCAAAAAAGAAAGCCTCACAACTGGTGACCAGGAGTACAGCACCACTGCTGCTCTGAACTTCGTAATGTTGCAAGGCAGCCAGGCTGTAAAAAGACTGAGGGCAGAAGTCAGATAATCTTAGCCACTTCTATGGCCAAATTTCCTTCGGCAGTAGCAAGGAAGTGGAAGGAAAATCATACTGGCAGCATAATCGGTCAGCAGAGCTGGCGATAAAGGGACTGAAGTGTTAATGCCTGAAGTAATTTCTTTACGTAACTCTCAATTGGAATGCAGTCAGATGTTTCTGAAACAAAACCAGAGCTCAGTTACAGCTGTGCTGGGTCTAGCAAGGAGTGTACTTATCGTACAGAAATACAGTGTGCATGTAGCGTGCGCGTTTGTGTGTTTATACCTCTCCATGGGATCACATGAGGAGGACCCCTCTGTATGCTATATTCCTTGGGGTATTAACCCCTGAAGAAAGTGTAGGCATCCTCTTTTGGAGCAGCACAACTCAATTTCATACCTACTGAGGCTGTGAAATTTGAATGACTATGCTCTCCCTTCACAAGGGTGACTAGGGACTCTCAGGGCCAAGGTGTCTGCAGAGCACAGACAGGATGTTTTACAGAAACCCCTCCCTACTTGCTAGAGAGGGAGCAGAACCTTTGCAAAAGTGGCATGAGGAGAGATTGTGACCTGAAAGCCCCTTTGATAGGCATGAACGTTAAGGGGAAAACATGCAAGGAATAAAGTCTCATTGATTTAGCCTCAGTGAGGGTAAGGAGACATAGCTTTTGGAGACACAAGTCACCTTCAGTCAGCACATCAAGAGCATCTTGCCCTTCTGAGAGACTCCTGGAGCTGCAGGAGGAGCTCCAGTTTGGAAAAACAGCAATGCTCATTCCTTTAATTAAATGGGAATAGAAATAACAAAGTTGTAGCTAATGTCAGAGTGATTTGATGGCTGACAGCGGGTACTCTCATATGAATGCTTCCATAAAGCAACCTGTGCACGCCTTCACTCCATCTTTATGAACCTCCACAGAACTTATATTCAGTGCTAAATCCTGATTCTCCCAGGCTGGACCCATCATGCTTTCCTAATATGCTATTGGACTAGCCCAGAATTTGCATGTGAGACGTTTCTGGTAGGTCTATTATGAGTGACATTATGGTAGCTCTGAATCTGCATTTGGGAAGAGATTTCAAGTGTTCAATAAGCTGCTTAAATATGGCTGGTCTGGAAAAAGAAATCTTAGTTCTAAAAATGAGGAGAATCTCAGGATGGGGGAAAGGACATTTGGCCCCATCAAAGAGGTACTGCTTGGCGTACACCTCTTATTTGAAGAGCACAGTAAAGTAAATGTTAATGGCATTTTTTTTAGCATCTTAATTTCTTTTTTCCTTTAAAGAGTGTGTTCTTCTAGCCTTAGTATGTAAATTCAGTTCTCATACCATAGCTGTTTAGCAGCATTTAGCAATATTGTGTTTCTAGGCTTTGTTTTCAAAGAAAAGCTTTAAAAAACAAACAAACAAACACCCCACCCAACCAAATTAAAAAAAAAAAAAAAAACAGGCACTGTTTGGGTGCAAAAAAAAAAACCCAGGTTTGCATTTAATTTTTTTTAGGAGGCTTATGTTTGCCTCCTAAAAGAGATCCAAAGCTCCACTGGAAAAATCTCATGGAGTCCACAAGAAGAAAAAGGTATAAACCAGCCCTCTATCTTCTTTTTAAATTGGTAGAATTACATTTTGCCAAGAATCGGAAAAAGTAAAATACTCCAGGAAGTACATTCTTCTTTCTGAATTAATTTCTCATACTGGATTTAAGAACTGTTTTCAAGAAGTTCCATCTTTTGGGTAAGGCAATAAACTAATTCCTTGATCACTTAAAGATATGTTGGATTTCATTACACAGGAAAAATGGTGGTTAAATCCAGGTCTGTGGATGATTTCAGCTTAGGACAATGTATATTCCTACCTAAATTCCAAATAGTTTTCTGCCACTTGTCCTCTAAATGGAAACATGATGTTAACCAGCTGTCATTTCCCAGCCTTCAACAGTAGTTCCATTACTGCTGGGCGTGAATGTCCTTTACATTGTGTGAGTTGAGATGAAAAACATTATAGGAACAATACAGAAAATATTGCTGATGAAATCAGTAAAAGGCCCTCCCCAGACTACCCTTGCAGGATCACCACTGAACCAATAAGACAGTGTAAAGGCTCCAATGGAACCTCATTCAAAGTTGGATTTTAAGTCCCCAACCGGACAAATTGTTCCCTGATATTATACTATTCTATTCAGCAAAGCCAGAGCCAAATGGGGCCCTGTGTGAGAAGATAATGCTACTAAACAGTGCTTACTTTGATTGGCCTCTGGTTCCAAGTCTTCTTGTTGTTAGCTGTGGAAACTGTTGTCTTATTATCTACAAATAAATAGAACTGATATTAGAAAAAACTGGAAAGTGCATTTACTAATACTTAATATAGAATGTTAAGACAGAAAAGGAGAAAAACTAATGCAACATCATCAAAATACACAGCAGGAGAAATCAGAAATAAAACTATTGATTTTTTCCATTACTGAAAGAGGGGACTTTAAAATTCAGTATAAATCCATTAACTACCACTGATTTAAATAAAGACTTTCTGAAGTTACTGGAGTAGAATAAATTTCCTTAAAAATCTAAGAGCAGTGCTGCCTCTAAACTAAGGAAAATGGTATTTAGAATTAGCCTACTATTTATTTATGTTAGTTTGCAGGATGAACAAACTTGGGTTTGCTGCAAATGAAGGTAACTCCCCCTTTCTGAGAGTTTTGGAGGCCACAGTTCTTTGAAGACCTTCACAATCCTGCCATTAAACACTCCCTTTTCTACAAGATGATTCCCTGAAAAGATTTTGGTATTTGACCATCACCACTTCCATCCGCAAGATTCACTGTTGCGTTTGTAAAGATAGCTCATAACCAATTTATCCTCTACGGAAAACAAGTGCATCTCAGAAACAGCAGGGTATCATCAAGAATCTGGACTCTTGTCTGTCAGCAGAGATTAAAAGAACATTGCTACTGTAAAACAAAACTTCTTTAGTGCCAGATGCATTTAAAGAAGCGGATTAATGAATGCAGATTGTGCCCTCAGCAATCAGAGCCTCTGTCAACCAGGCTAGCCCTGATGAAAAAGCTCTGCTGTAGTTGCTCAGCACCTCACAGGATGGAACCTGATTCTCAGTGTGGTCTGCGGTAGGAGGAGGATTCTGCTGGCAGAACAGTCATGCAAGAAAGACTGCAGTAAGCCTTGCAGATTCACTTGTAGAAGTCATTTCTTCCTTTTTTAAATCTATAAACTATTTTAATAATGCTTTCATTATATAAATTGCTAAATGTTTCCTATTTGGGGGGGGGGTGTTTACCAACTAAAATTAAGGAAAACAGGCATACAAGATGGAATATAACTGCTCAACTAGAAGAAAACATCAATTAAAATTAATTAAATAATATAGATTTTTTTTCTCCATTAGCCCTTTTGCCACCATGGTAAATATTTAATCCTGATTGATGACTGAAAGCTCTGGAATATGTATTTGGATGAAAAGGTGCTGTATAAATAAAGACATTACAATGTCACATATTTGACCATTTCTTCAGTAATATACTTTTTTTTTTTTTGAGAAATACACAATCTTCCCTTCCTATCATGTAAAAATCATCCTGAATTTGTTTCCAAGAGCTTTGCACAACGTGGCTGATGTCAAAAATGCAGCACAGACTCAGAGTCGCTAGGTTGTTCAGCTTTAATTTCTGGAGCAAAACTTCAGCAAACAGTAAAACACTTTTGTGGATCTGTGAAAGTTCAGCCTAGCTGTTTGATAAATGAGCAGACAGGCAAGCAGCCCTTCTTTCTTTTTTTGTATGGATTCAATGAAGCCTGCCTAAAGAACACCACATGCTGTTCCAGCTACTGATCTAACATTCCGCAACATCTCAGCCTTCCAAATTCCCTTTAATTACACATTAATCCCACCCCTCTCTCTTTCATTTTCTGCAGACAGGGCTGGGGGCTCCACAAGGCTGTGGGAAAAAAGGCGGTGTTGAAGAACTACTTTCTGAGGATGTTTCTTTGGGTTAGGGGCTTCTTTTTTCTTTTAATTTTCTTTTCTTCTTTTTCTTTTTTTTTTCTTTTTTTTTTTTTTTGGTGTGGTAACTGTCATTCAGAAAATATTATTCCTTTCCAAAAGTTGATTTTACAGCACTAGACTCAAAAATAAATCTAAATATTAGAGATACTTTTACCCTATTTTTTCTTTCAGAACAACACAAACCCATATTACTTTCAAAGTGTTTCTAGTAGTGATGAAGTGCTACAATGCACACTGTAAATGCTACTTTATGAACCATATGCCGTGGGAGTTCCTGGGATTTAAACACATCAGCCAATTTCTACATACCAGGGCAGAGGTGATCAGGAGAAGAGAAGAATAACGGAGCAGTTGATCAGATGATCCCATTTTCTTTTCTTTGTTTGTTTCTTTTTTTTAAATCCAGCACATTTTAAACAACGAGGTACACCTCTCAGAACACAGCTGAAAAGTTTGTGCCACTTAAAATATTCTTTACCAATAATTTACAAAAAAATAAAAATAATTTTTAAAAAATCTAGCAAACCTTTGGAAAAAAATGTGAGGACTTTTTGATCTAATGCTGCTTGTTTAAAATACGTATAAGGTGGCATGCTTGAGTGCTCGTGTATATGAGCATGTTTGTGTTTGGAATAAAACAAGTCAAGTACTAAATGAACTAGCTTCTCATACAAATGTTTATATCCAGCTACATTTATGCAAACCCCTATGTAATGATATTGCCAAAGGCAGTGAGACTTTTCTGAAAGGAGAGAAGGTCAGATCAGGCAGGACAAAGTAGTGTTCACTCCGTGCTGAAATCAACGGAAAAAGCAGAGGGTCCAAAATGTTGATTTTTAAATCATATTTTCAGCCTGAAAGTCACCCTATAAAATACAACACCATTGTGTTTCATGTTTATTAACTTTTAAAGACCTACAGAGAAAATGAGTTAACTTTGCAAGTGGGTGGGGAAGGAAGGGAGTTCCTAAATGTCATAAATGAAAATTCAGGTTCGGATCTGAAAACCAAGTTGGATCATTTTCCTTTCATCACTGCAGTGGGGTTGTGCAAGCAAACAAATCCAGACCAGACCACGCAGTTTGAGCTGCTTTCTGAACCGAGCCCAGTCCCTGCTCTCACAGCAGCACTGGCTTCTCAACAGAAGCAGTGGTAAAAAGATCTCATGGGTGGCATCCAAGGGAATTTTGGAGTGAACGGGTCTTTTACCATTGTCCTTCAATGGAACTGAAATTTCATCTCATACTTCTCCAAAGCGAACACAAATCCAGCAGCCCTATGAGGTCTGCTGAGTAAAAGGGTACAGGTTTTAAATTTTCCAAGTAAAAGTCCACCTGAATTATGTGGCAGTTTTGACTGTTGGCATTATGTTATGCTAGTTGGCTTTTTGTGTTGTTAGACGGATGTAGAACAGGAATTTCACACGCAAGTAACTTCTGTCCCTACTATATTAGCCTCAGAAACCAAGGCTCCTTCAATTTCTTTCTCAGTTACTAAACTTCAGCTGTGTTCTCCCTCTCCTTCCCCTGTGCCCTGCTCAAGACCTAATCTTGCCTTCTGCATATAGAAGATCCTGCATGCCTGCCTTGATTAAAAAAAACACCAAGAATGGCCCTGTCATTTTCCAACTCCCTAGTCCGTCTGGTGATTGCCACCAGTACACGTAAGAGCCAGATAGAAGTCTTCACATTATAAAACAATATACATCTAGTGTGCACCTTCCCAGGGAACTTGTACATTCAGGTCAGCACCTGTTTAACCCTTTTGCAGACAATCCTGATAGATTGTTTTAGGAACCAGGTAAAATATAACGGGACCTTCCTCCCGACACGTAGTAGCCTTTCCACGCTGAATGTATGTAGCAGCCAAAGTGGATGCAGGAAAGAAGTCTTCTCATGGCATTCTCACACTGAGGTGACACCATTCAACAGATACTGCACAGATCTTGGAGCTAACAGGATTTTTATTCTCTTCTGGATTTTTATACCTAGTAGAGGTGTCCGAATAACCTTAAATATCTAGTTATTTGTATTTTTAGACTTTCTTAAAATAATGCAATAAAAATCAAATACGTTACTTAAGTATCCATGCAAAACACAGAAAGCTTTATGAGGAACAGCTAGAAGAATGCATTTCCTCTGTAAAGATCTGCACAACCTATTAACCTTAGACAGGGCTAACCGCAGGAGCTGTTCTGTTCCCCTCAAATGGCTGCAAAGGTGCATTCCTTCATCCCGATTACTGCCAGCTGTAATTTCTGCCACTGTGTCTCTCCTCACATCTCCAGCATTGTGACATTCCAACACAAGAAGAGCCAGCCCCAGCTTCATAATGAGGAATGAGTTGTCTGTTCTGCCTTCATCCCTATCCTGTGACCCATTGCTCCTCTTTGCATTCACTACCAAACTGTGCAATTTATGTTTCCCAATTATTCCATATAAATTCTTCTACTAGACAAGATGCTGAAACAGAACTGGGGGAAAAAAAATGATACCCAAACCATCTTATAAAGTACCTTATGCATCTGTCTTAGTGCTAACAGATAGGGATGGAAGAAACCAAAGATGTCTGGAAACTTCTGAAGTCTTTTTTTTTCCTCCCCTCCCTGTGTCAGAATGTTAGATATTGCTCTGGGGGCAATAGGCAGAGGATGACTTTTAGAAGTCTTTCCCCTGGAATAATTTAAATTACCACTTTTCAAAAGGCACGTTCATTTTGTTAGTGCATTTGATCTAGAGGGATGTTATTCTTCATGACTCTTGTTCCTTTCTATTTGAACTAATTCTAGCCATGCTTCTAGAACTTCCCAGAGTAATGAAATCAAATCAAATTAAACTGCAACTCAGCATCTGTACTCTGCCAGCAAGAGAAACAGATTCCAGGCTCCAGGCTCTGGAGCCATGAGAGGTTCTAAAGATTCTATAAGGAGTGGAATAAATTCTCTGGTAACAAATCTTCATAACAGGCCTGGCTATGTCTCAACTCAGGTTTCAAGTCCTATATCTAGAGGGCTTTTTTTTTAGGAAGTAAGGCATAGAAGATCTGTGTTTATTTACTAAATTTTGCTGTGGTGTTTCTGTTCTGAAATTCTTTGCCATGGCAGCAGGAGAGAAACCAGTGATGCCAACTACACTCCCGCACAGCTATACTTTCCTTATTCTCATTGTTGTGAAACACAAACAATACTGATATCCTCAGTCGTACATGATAAATGTAGGATTTTTAGGCTCATTCATCTTTGGCCTGGTACAGGTATGAATGGTACAGGTATGAAAAGATGCATGGT